GTGAGAGGGGGGGGATGATTGTATTTACCTTTGAGAAATGATGTTCTCAGTTGTTTTCTCCGTTTTTTCCTGTTCGAGCATGCTTTATATTCTTCTCCTTAATGTTCCACCTCCGAGAGGTTGCAGTGTTTTCGAGAGAAAAAAAACTCCGGAAAAGTGATGGGAAGTTGGGAGAAATGAGGAAATTTAGGGAAATGGTAGGCAGGATATGGTATTGGGAAAGAGGGCGGAGTCGTATTTAGCGAAATTTTCCCCCCAGCGCCATGCCATGATTTCAATCAAATCTGCTCTGATTCCAGTACGAGTGGTCGAATCGAGCGAAAAGGCGTGAGATCATTAAGCACGTACAGGCCGCCCTGGAGACGTCAGTAGACCATGAATTGGAGGATGACGAGCTCGAAAAGTTACTGGTAAGTTTAAGAGTTGAGGTAGCTTTCTTCAGGAGAAAACCTGCTCATAATTGTTATATTTTAGCCGGTATCCTGGGAAGAAATGTTTGAGGGCCCGCTCATGGAACTGCCTTCTCAGGTAGGATCGGACATCTAGAGCTCACTCAATCTAAAAACCTGTTAAACCTGCACCTTACCAAATGGAACTCTGTGAAGGTAAAAATGTGAAAGGCAAGATGTGACAGCCCACAGCCCATTGGCTCGCCATGTGGCGTGAGAGTCAGACCATTCATTCTACTATTCCTCGTACTGTGCCAACCGTTCAGCCGAAGCCGAGGACCTGAGTGCCTTATCAACGATGGGTTTAGCTTATGTTCTTATTGCTTGCCCTACTCTACTGACAGTGTATTGGAAAGTGCAATATTCTTCATAGGACGCAGTTTCCACTCGCGCTTACTCTTTATAGGTCGCGTCAGTTTGTGTCTATTTCCTAATTTGAACAGGGATATAAGAAGTCCATCTCAGTTTGATTAATTCGAAATTGGTGTTCTGTATCTCACTCGCTCACATTTACTATACGTCTATATCCATACGTCTTACACTTCATTATACGGGTCGAAATTAAGACCTTATCTCATTCACTGTGCCTTTCTCATTGAAGTGCGCTGCTTTCCAATACAGGAAAGGGAAGAGCCCGCCAATGGGAAAGGCACAATGGTATGCAGGATTCCGCCCCACTAAAAGCAGTGAAATGTGAAAAAGCCAGAGACCCAGGCTTATCATGGGGGTGGACTCAGTCCTAACATTTGTAATTTCCTCATTAGCGAGATCACCCCCTTTCCCGCAGTAGAAGAGGCGCATCACCAATGAGGAAGGCACAACGGTGAATCACTCCGCCCTCATAACCAGCGTGGACTTCACCTTGAATAATTTTGGTTCTCATAGAGTCCATTCGATTCAACGGGAATACCCCCTCCCTTATTCCTCCACTTTTTGCTTAGAGTGATACTTTCTTTTCATTTTTGGTTCGTTAATAACATAAATTGCTATTATTCAGAAGCTAAAGTACCTACAAGCCGTATGGGAGTTGTTTCACTCAGAGTTAAACTTCCTCCACCACCAACTACTTGTATTACGGTAAGAATGCCTTCAAATCCCTCCCGAATCTTCCTGAATACGCCCTTTCAGGAACGTCTACAAAGAGCCCCTCAAGAAATGCCAAGTAGAAGGCTGTCTTCTGACGGTTGAACCCGATCTCCTATTTGGGAATCTCGACCAATTATGTCGGATCTCCCGTGGATTCTGCCAGACGTTCCTCAGCCTTCTGCCGGCAGTAAATCGCGAAGGAACAGATTACGATTGTACAGATCTAGTAGTGAAGCTCTTCGAAAAGGTAAGCCTTTTTTCGAGTTCCGGTCCTAGATGCTGGGAGAGGGCGCTTTTGGTTCTCAGCAGCCAAGCCATGAGTGCTGTTTTATTCAAATATTCCATGAAGTTCGGGAAATGATTTTTATAAGAGGTCCTTTGTGCAATATTGAATCGCCCTTCCACTGGAGCGTTAATCATTAGCACGATGTCCGAAATCTTCTTTTGAAATTCGTTCCAAACCACAAAGAGACGAAACAACGTGACCATTTCGCTTCGCCGCTTCATTCCATTGTTCAAATTCAACACTCCCGCACTCAATCATGCATTTTTGAGGATGCTCGTAAAGCCGTTAACACGTGCTGACATCATGGGTTGAGGACGAAACCAAAGTTTGGGACAATGAAGGCTCTCCAGGGTTATTAGGGCTATGGGGGTCCTAAAGTTCAAGACTGGACTAATAGGGACTCCATAGGGCTAGTGGGTGCGGTGAGGTGGTCTTCGTTCCCTGTCGCGGTTCAAAGTATAGACGGGGGTAATGCAGGAGCAAGCGACACCGTTTTATCCGTTCGAGGGTCAAATCTGAAATCTGCGAGGATGAAAACACCTGTTTACTGCTGACTTGTACACAGGCTGACCTGCACATGTCGTTGTATCGCCCAGAATCATCTTCTGATTTCTTTACGAGTTTGAGTGGAGGGAAAGGGAGACGGGCAAGAGAATCGTAAATTGCCGCTTCGTCGCGCGCGGCAATGGGCGCGACGTTTCCTTCAATTTGCACTACCCTTTCGATTGGAGCATCGGATTTCATGTAGACAAGGACATGGTGGACACTTATGTCTATTTTTGGTCATACATTGTCTATTCCCGACCAATACCAACTAAATCGGGTATGTGACAAGAGGATCGTAATTTGCCGCGCTGCTGGGCGTCGCGTGCGACGTCCCGCCCGCAAAGGACGATGGTTTCAGGCAGTAGATGGCGACAACATGCAATTAAGGACCGAAAACAGTAATGAGTGTCTACGATGACGGGGTCTACATGAAGT